TTTGGGAATGTATTACATTTTTTGTTATTTTAATTTGGTCGAAAAGTAAAGAGTTATTTCTTTTTTAGCATCCCATGCAAAGCACGCACAAAAGAGATTCTCTCGTGACACGTTTCGACTTGCTTCTTAACTTTGATTTCTGTCTGAATATCCCCTTTGTCTGTATTAAATACGGACTCTCGAATATTTCTCCACTTTCCTTTTTCTTATATTCTTCTTTTCTTCAAGATATTATATATATATTTTGTATAACAAGTGTTTTGAAATCGGGATTAATCGGGCATTGGTAACCCGCAATCCGATTATTAGTTTAGTCCGGTTACACCTGAAAACCTAAAATATTTTACCACCTTAAACACGAAAAAAAATCCGACTAAAACTTAATATGTGAGTGAAGCCATTTTATCCAAAGAATGCATTTCATTTTTTTCAGGTTGATCTTTTTATTGAGTTTGCTTAAGTTCAGTTTGATTTATCTGATTGATCGCTCCTAGAATATGTATAGTGTATATGGTTTTAGAAATTAGGTGATACGTTTTTAAAACAAGAGATTTAATAAAAGAGAAATACAAGAATATACCTAAGTCACTTAAAACTTATGTCAATAACTATGCATTTTTCAAAAGCCTTTTTTTTTTCCTTTGTCGGCTCGCAAAAGAATTCAATTTTCTACTTTTCTGGTGTCTAAAAGAGGATAAAGATACGAGTAGTCCAAGTTACGTTCCGTTCATCGTTTATATTTTATATTATTTTCATTTTTTAGTATCACAATTTGTTTGATTATTGATGTGGTCTAATATGTTCAGTCACATGGTTTTGCGGTCGGTTCGAATTGGATCTAGGTTTGGTCTGGTCCGGTCCTATAGTATTAACGATCAGTTTTATACGAAATCCTTGGCATAGTAGTTTCTCCCATATAGACCATATCGGACCTAATACGGTAGTAATTTAAAAAAAAAAATATCCTGTTTTAATCCCCTAAATTAGTAATTACTAATCTGACTAGGTCGGTTCAGTCTGCAAAGTTTTTGACACTACAACATCTCTAGTTGTTATTGAGATAACCATTGAGTTTGTAAGAGAGGGGATATATAATTCCACTCTAATTTCGAATCATTGTTTAGAGGCTTGGATGATATCGATCGTGATAACAAGTATGTTCAAGTAATTGCTATTTCTTAATTTATATAAAGTAACTAAAAGTTTCGAATAAGGTACAATGATAGTTGTACTTAAGAAAATATTAGCGTATAGAATAACACATCATCACTTGAATTAGAAGAATTAATTTTGAAGAAAATATGAAATATTTGATTGGATATCAAAATTTTAGGATATGCATGTCGGAGGGTCTGTCCGAAAATTTGATGTGTGGCATTAGATTGCCAATTGGTTGCTTGAAACAATAAATTATAAACAAAAATATAATTTGATCTTTCATCATAAATTTTTCAGAATTAATATACATATGTAATTAATATAGATATGGACCTCACCGGAACAACTCATAGTAGAATACTAGAAATAAGCAACATAAATAATTTCGACCAAAAAAAAAAATAGCAACATAAATAATTTGCTGATTAAATGCTATGTTCCGATTAATTATACAAATTTAGTTGATCAATGGTATAATTGTTAGTGATTAGAAAAGAAATATATATATATATATATATATATATTTATCTATTACGTATCTATATGGTCTAGACTAAGTATCGTTGCAAGCAGCTTCTGTGAATCATTTAACGTCATGTATAGATTAATTTAAGCAGTTCTTGTAGCATCACTTGCATTTTCACGATCACGTAGTGCTAGTGCTTAGTTCAACTTTTCTTTTTTTGGACCGCCATTAGAAGGGTCTGAGGTTGATCGTACAAAAATCTAAATAACTCTATATATAAGACCACATTTTAGAAGAGTTTTCAGCACTAGGTACTATGGCCACACCCCCAGTGGCGGAGCTACAGCATTAGGAGGGGGGTCACTTGACCCCCATAACTTTTATAAATTCCCTTTATAAAGCTTAAATATTTGGTATTTAGTTTATAATTTGGCTTGAAATATTAAATTGACCCCCTTACTCCTAGACATGTCAATTAGGGCCAAAGCCCGCGGGCTAGCCAAAGAGATATTATAACTTATAAGTTTGTTTTTTGTTGTCGGAAGAAAAGCCCAAAAAAGCCCGGAAAAGCCCTGTAGCCCTGTTAGGGCCGGGCCGGGCTTTAAAATATAGGCTCGGAATTTTTACGGGCCGGGCCAGGCCGGGCTCAAATATGTACGGGTTTTGCGGGCTTCGGGCCGGGCCGGGCCGGGCTAGCCCGATTGACATGCCTACTTACTCCACGTTCACATTCTATATTTGCACCCTTTGTTAATTTTGTTTCTTCCATTTAAGCATATCTTTTAATTCTTTCCTTTTTTCTTATATATCAATTTCTAATTTTCTTCTATTTCCTAGCCCTATTTTAAACAGTTTCTTTGGTAACTGTTTTCATTATTTCCCCTATTAATTGTTTAATATGTCTTTCCTCTAAACTTAACAGAAATTTACCTAGACGTGTGGATAAATAATCATTTTGAATAACAAAAAAGATGTATAACATATGGATGTTCTTGTATTTCACACAAAAAAATTAAGAATTTCTAAAGCAATGTATATTTTATCCAAAAACAACAATAATTTATGAAGTGTACAACACTAACGATATTATTTGTGGTTCTCGTTTTTTAATGAAAAAAACTAATAGTAATACCTAAAACATTTTGAAAAAAAAAATCAAAGATAAACTTTTATTCCAAATAAATAATTAAATATTATAACATAATATTGACCCCCGTAAAGAATATTTCTGGCTCCGCCACTGCACACCCCACACTATATATATCTAGTACAAAAACATATAAGGTTTGGTGATTAGACGACTAAAAACATCATAATTTTTCCAATTAGCCGCATTATTCTCACTTTTAGGAATTTATAAGTACTAATTACTACAATTAGTTCATTAGTTTTCATTAAAACCTAGATACAAAAAGAAAATTTGAAAGACTTTGAATTGCAAAAACTGTCTTTGAAAAAGTTTTAAATATTTCTAATTTCTAAGTAAGAAGAATCTTCTACCTTCCTGGCCACTTCACTAAAGCCCGTTGGGAAGATTCTGCGACTCTCAAACTTCTTTCAATATTATGTATTTAAGTGAATATCTGTCCTTACAATAAACTAAATCAGATATTCCCTTTCTTTCTCTCTTTTGCATCCACTAAAATTTAGAATAATTATTCAACTTTAAAAAAATTCAATTTAGAAAAATTTATTGATCAATCGTTATCTCTGTCTCTCTCTCTCTCTCTCGCCGTCGTGCAACTATAAATATAAAAATCTTGTTGCCTAGTATATGCTTCTTTGATTTATATTGAATCTCAATTCCATTGAAAAAATAATTAATTATATAACTTTAGAAGGTGGTGGAAGAATATTTGTTTTTATGGCAACGACTCTAAATTGCCCTAAATGTACTAAAACGTTCACCATTGATTCCTATCATATAATTGCGGTGGTGATTCCATAATATTATTTAACTTTGTCGAAAAAGATAAGAACCAACTAGCTGAAAATGTTAGCTTAGATCTAGTTCTGATTTATGGCAGAACTAGGAAACATATTTTATCTAGAAAATTATGAAACTGAATTTACAAAAGTATAAGCTATGTGAAGTGGTGAACCAACAAAAGCGGAATCTGAGATTAAAAACAATATATCGCTTTAATAGAAATAATTTAAAACTTTGTTTTCTTACCCATTTGTTCTTTATAACAAGTTTCCATATATTCCCTTTTGCCCTGCTGCTTTATATCCTCCTCTTTTCTCCTTTAGCCTCTCTCTCTTTCTTTCATATGGAATTATAAATAGACTAATTTGATAAAAGAAGTGATTAAAAAATAAGCATAATAAGAGAAGAAAAGAAGAAAAAATCAAATGGTTAATAATTTGATGATTTTCTAGTGTAAACTGAGTCATCAATAATTTTATTAACTATATGATATTTATTGAGTCATAAATAATCTTTTGCTTGTAATTTATGCGTAATTTTTTTCTTTGTAGTTAAGAGAAATTTTCTTATCCTAAAAACTTGTTTTCATTTTGTTTCATTTATTTATTTATTTATCATATATGTTATTATTCCACTAAAATACGATAAATTGAAGTTATTATTGAATCGTTGCATATTACCATTATTATTATTATTATTATTAATTATATATCATAAATTTTTCATAACCACTAAAACACCAATGAAATCCTCAAATTTTGTCCAAAATATTTAGTTAAAAAAGCCAATAGATATTCTAAACAAGCATATATATATATATATATATATATGTATGCTTAGGTATTTAGATATTTTGTTTAAGCTTCATGAAACCATGTATGGTAGCATCAAAAGCCTTGAATAAGCTTTTTGAGAAATGAGAGTCACACCTTCAGTAACTGACTCATTAGAGAAGAGGAACGATTTCTAACAGAGAAGCCTCTCAGTCTCTCTCTAAAAAAAAAACACATCTCCTAGTCTCTCTCTCTCTCTCTCTCTCGATAGATATATATGTGTGTATGTGTGTATATGTGTATGGTGACAGATCACATTATTCCCTTGCTTTGAATTGAGCCCTCTAAAAAGGACAGGAACCTCCTCGTGATCCTCCTTGTGTCCACAACCTAACATTTTATTCCCTTTTTCTTCTATCTTCCTCTTCATTCTCTCTTCCTCTCCAAACCCTAATTTCCAAAAACCCTCAAAATCTTTGAAATATTTCTGAAGAACCATATAGCATATACATATATCATCTGAAACTTGAAGGCACCATAAATTCTTCTTGATTCCTTGATCATATATATATTTTTTATATAATCAATAGATATTCTTCTTATACAGAGAAAGAGAGAGAGAGAGAGTACTATATTAGCTATATATATGGCTTCCTCATCAGAACTAAGCTTGGATTGCAAGCCACAAAGCTACTCTATGCTTTTAAAATCCTTTGGAGATAACTTTCAGAGCGATCCAACCACACAAAAGCTCGAAGATCTTCTCTCTCGCCTAGAACAAGAACGTCTCAAGATCGATGCCTTCAAACGCGAGCTTCCCCTTTGCATGCAACTCCTTAACAATGGTAATATATCCATTTACAAATATTTAGATCTTCATCTATATACTTGTGTATAATATGATCTTAAAATAATTCCTTTATTACCAAAAATAAAACCTAGAGAACCATTAGTTATTATACGTATAGAAGAGTTTTTTGAATTTCTTTTTACTTTCTTTGAAAAGATCTTTATTCATTAGTTTAAGAATTTATTTCATAAAAATCAGAGCCTGCTTTTGATTTCTTTGAATCACAAAACTTTTGTTTCTTCCCAACACTGAAATCAACAAAACTAACTAAAGTGATTTTAAAGGTTATAAGGTTCATGTTATATACATCTCTTACTTTCATATTTTAAATTACTTTACCATCTTTAGTTTTTTTTTTTTTCAGCTGTGGAAGTTTACAAACAACAACTAGAAGCATATAGAGCAAATAGTAATAACAATAACCAAAGTGTTGCCACAAGACCAGTTCTCGAAGAGTTCATACCCCTAAGGAACCAACCTGAAAAAACAAACAACAAAGGAAGTAATTGGATGACGACTGCTCAGCTTTGGAGCCAATCCGAAACCAAACCAAAAAACATTGATTCAACTACTGATCAATCTCTTCCCAAAGACGAGATTACTAGTAGTCCGAAACTCGGACATTTTGATGCAAAACAAAGAAATGGCAGCGGTGCTTTTCTTCCCTTCTCTAAGGAACAATCTTTGCCTGAATTAGCTCTATCTACGGAGGTCAAGAGGGTGTCTCCGACCAACGAGCATACTAATGGCCAAGACGGTAATGATGAGAGCATGATCAACAATGATAATAACAATAACAATAATAATAACAATTCAAACAGAAATGGAGTTTCTTCTACAACAAGTCAAAGTAATAGAAAGGCACGACGTTGCTGGTCTCCGGACTTGCATCGGAGATTTGTCCAAGCTCTTCAAATGCTTGGTGGTTCGCAAGGTACAAATACACTTATTCGAATCAACTAAGTATTAGTTTGATGTAGCTTTACCATGGTTAACCTCACAAAATTTTCAACTAATTAGTACAATTTTTTTTAGTAGACATGATATTTGATTCCAAATACATCATTATTGTATACTGTATATTTATACATGTCTAGTTTTATAATTTGGAGTCTTATAACTGAATCCAAGTATCAGTTTATGACTCATCCGATTTTTGGGTGTAAAAATGAATATGGTATGGCAAATTGCCATGATTTCGATTTTGCTAAAGTTCATCTCTTAATTAGTCATATATTATTATTTTTCAAAGGCATATAAAGTTTTAGTTGGAGTTTTCTTTAGTTTTTTTTTTCGGTTGATAAAAATATAGTACCTAAAGTGAAATTGAATGTACTATATATAGATCAACCTGGTTTAAACAAAAATATGAGAGATCAACTTGACCATCCTTTAAATATATAGTTAGTTTTCAAATATATATTTTTTTTTTCGGTTTTGATTTGTATTTAGCTTATTAAATATATATATATATAAATAATACAAAATAACCTTGTTAATCTGAATAACAAATGGTTTAATTTTTTGAATCTAACTTATTTCATATATATATAAAATTAAATGCCCGTATTTATATGTTTGTTATATTTTGCAGTGGCTACACCGAAACAAATAAGGGAACTTATGAAAGTTGATGGCCTGACCAATGATGAAGTCAAAAGCCATCTCCAGGTAACTTAAATCACAAGCCACCACAATATGCTTACAACTTTTTTAACTCATAGTTAAGTACTTTACTAATGGTGTATTAATTTTAAACAAACAGAAGTATAGGCTTCACACTAGAAGACCAAGCCCAAGCCCACAAACATCAGGTGGACCAGGTCCACATTTGGTGGTCCTAGGTGGCATATGGGTTCCACCGGAGTACACTACCGCACATGGTGGCACTCCGACTCTCTACCACCACCAAGTTCACCACCACCACACCACCACGGCAGGGCCGCCTCCACCACACTTTTGCTCCTCTCAAGAATTCTACACAACCCCGCCGCCTCCGCAGCAGCTCCACCACCACCACTTTCAAACCTTTAACGGCTCATCCGGTGGGGCCGCCTCCACCGATTCAACTCATCATCAGTTAACGGACAGTGCCACCGAAGAAGGAAAGTCTTCGGAGAGTGGTGGCGGAGAGAGAAAAGGATTGGCTGCTCTTAGGGATGAAGGTGAAGATCAGAGCAATATTAATGGAAGTGAAATAACTCTCAAATTCTAAAAAAAAAGATTCTTGGTTAATTAATTAGAGCAATGAGATTTTAGGGTTAGGGTTTGTGGGTGGCTACGTAACTTATTTCATTGCTTGTATCTCTTTCTATATTTTCTCAGTAGAAAAATGAATCGTAGGAGGCAGCGAGTGTTTTTATCGAATATTATAATTACCATAATTACTCATAGTATGTCACTTAGAAAATTCATTATATATGACCATCTTAATTACACTTATACTTGGATAAAAAGATGTATTCAAAGGGACTATTTTGTCTGCGTTTACTTTAGTTGGTGATTATATGTTTGGATAATGTGGATTAATATTATGAATTTATGTAGGCGTTAACCATGTCTAAATTGATTGATTAATTAATCGCCTAGGTGTTAATTTTTTTATTATATTAAATTATTTATCGATTATAAGAAAATTTTAGTGATAGTATACACTAAAATTTGAGCAGCTAAACGTTATATGTATAATGTTGTAATTGTTGTTTCCGTTGTATATATTCAATCCCTAACACAAGTCAAATAACTTATCGTTTAAAATTAAGACCATCATTTAAATTAGATTGTTGGAATCTCTTTGGTATTGCGGCAAATTTTCTAGTAATGGCATTAATTAAACACGATCATGTAATTATAGACGAGCTCGTCTTAGCTCGACAATATGCTCCGCATAAATATATTTACGCCACAAATCTAAATATATATCTGATTGGTATGATGCATCTTCATGTGCTAGATATGGAGTGGTCCTTGGATTTATGCTCTTAAAGTCAGCGATATTCTTTTATTTTCATTACATAAAATAGTCTAAGCACCACCTTACCTGTATTTATTTTTCAATAATCATATTACAGTTTTATTTGCAACCCAATACAAAAATCATTTGATGAAAAAAACAATTATGAAAAAAGAATGTAACAAATTTGGAAGGTGCACGTGTTAGAATCATTTTTGCTATGAGACAGTATTTTGGTTGGAATAAATCTTGGTTTGAAACTTGATCGGTACATCTTTAAACAGGTTTTGGTTTAGTAAGAATCATTTAAATGAACAATGATAATTGATAAAATATATATTTTGTAGAAAAGGTTACAAAGAAATCGAAACTTTATTCGCTATATTTTTCTTCTTTTGGTTAATAAAATGAGAATATTCTCATTCAATATCGGTGGCTAATTCAGCTTACAAAAGAATTTGACATTTCATATCTCTTGAAACACTTTCAAAGAAGTCCATTTCAAATTTTCATTTGTAACTAAATCAGTTATAAATTTTATGTGACAAACTGAGAACTAATAATCTATAGTAATAATGAAACCAATGAAAATAATTAGCAAACAAATTTAGAAATTAAGCGTTGCAAAGAATAAAAAGTTAACGACGATCATATCGAGACAACAGAATCTGCAGAAACCATCAAAACCAATGTTGGGTTAAGTTTTGACCTGACCCTTGGGTTAATAATTACCGTTTTAAGTATAAAATAAAAAATACCACTACCTATGAAAAAATAATTATGAATACTGATACAAAAAGAAAGTTTTTAATCACCAAACTTCGAATGTATCGTGCACCAAACCACAGAGGACTAGAGGGCCAGGTCAGCATTAACTCACCTACAGGTTATGCAAAAATTTCTAAAATTTGTTCTTTCTTTTTCCATCGTACATTATCAGATGAACTTTAATAAAAATACTTATTTTCAAAAATGTTTTTTTTTTTTCTTTCTAATTGAGTCTACCATTATGGTCTCACGATGAAATCACGACGAATAATTGGTTCTGCTTTTATTTTGACTAAGAATAATTAAATTAAATTGTACCAACTATCAGACGATAAATGAAAAAAATTACAATTTTGGCATCAAAAAAGAAATACAATGTTCACAATTTTCCATGGACCATATACATTTTTGGAGTTTGGACACTGAGATTTTCAGATTCTTGTCTGTGGTTAAACCTCGGAACCAGAGAGAGATGGTATGGTCTTAACACTCTCTTTTATTAATAAACTCATATCTCTCTCATCTAAAATCTCATCTCTCTTCTTCTCCTCTCTCTCTTTGAAGCTATCTTCTTAGATTGTGTTACAACTTTGAAGTTAAAAACTTGCTTTGGTCCATCATGAGATTGCTTCTTGGTCTCTTGTTTCTCTTGGCTTTAACCACCTACTCAAGTAAGCTTGGTCTCTGACTCTCTGTTCTTGAATCTTGAGGTTTCAAACTAAAACCAACTCTCTCACTTTCTCTATTTTTAGGTGCAACTTATTGTCTATGTAGAGATGGTATTGAAGAGAAAGATCTTCAAACATCAATAGACTATGCATGTGGAGTTTTAAAAGATTGTAATCCAATTCATGACAAAGGTCCTTGTTATCAACCAAACACTGTCAAGAGTCATTGTGATTGGGCGGTTAATACTTATTTCCAAAGATCTGGTCAAATCTCTGGAAGCTGTAATTTCTCAGGAACTGCTACTACCAGTCAAAATCCTCCTTCAAGTAAAAACCCAAATCTCTAAAATCTAAATTTGTTGGTCTTATGATGCAATCTTTTTGATTATTTCCTCTGTTTCTTGAATTTTGTTTTTGCAGCTGTGGTTACTGGTTGCATTTATCCTTCAAGTCCTGGGTATGTTAATTCTTTATTCATTTCAATTAATCAAGAAGACAGAGAGGACCAACCATTCTCAACAGCTGAAATTGACAAATAAACATTTTTCTGTTTTTTTTTACACTCTTCAAGATTTGGTAAAGAGATTGTTTGGTTAAACTTGTCTTTATACATATAACGTGCCTTAAAAGTTAAAAGTTTGGTGTGTGTTACATGTTTTTGTCTTACACAGAAGTGCAGGGACAACCCCGACGACCGGAACTCCTTCAGGAACACAACCGTTTCAGGGACCTCCTGCGTTTGGTCCGGTCGGAGTTTTTGACCCTTCAGGCAATTGTGCATCGAGTTTGTTCATTTCAATCGCTCTCACACTTGGTTTCTCCGTCATTGCGTTTCTATAAAAGGCTAGTGATTAAGAACGTGAGGCTGACGTTTTTGATGTACGGATGAGATAATGCCACGTGTGAATGCAAGTTCTTTGAGGCAGACATCCATTTAGTGGTTGGCTTTGTTGTTTAGGCTATTTTTATGTAATGTATGTAAGAAATGATTTAATGGAATCTTTCTTTAAGTGTTTACATGCAGAGTAAAGAGAACAAGTAACATAAATAGAATGCAAACAATATAGGAAGTGGTAGTGTTATGGTGCCCCAAAATTTTTCTTAGATCGATCAATTCTGATAGGAACCTGATTTGCTAAGCTGAAAAAGCTTAATATATGCTCGTTTTTTTTTTCGAGATTAAACTATCAAAGTCCGAGTTTGGTTTTTTGGTCAGACCGGGACTTGCTTGGCCCTAATGGACATGTTTACACACATTTGATCTACTTTGAAACTGTTATTACTGCGGATCTAACCTCTTTTTCTTTATAAAATTGGTTTGTTTTGAGTCGGTCCTTAGAAAACTAGTATTATCAAGATTGGATTAGACCTTTTCAGGCATGACTTAGCCCATCAATAGTGCTGAACGCATCACAACATAACTAGATATGAGTAAGAAATGTGAACAACCCACCAGCTTGTTGGTTGTGTTAAAAGTTATGATTCCTCACTGATCCACGGGAACCAGATAATATTAGGCCAAAAAGTATAAAAGTATACAAAAAAGAATATTTCTTTCAGAAAAGACCGATGGTAGAGTCTTCTAATACGTACTTTGGATTGAAGTGGAAACAATGTCGTTGAGAATATGTGAAGTTAGCTAGAATATAATTCGTTGCCCATTTTCAAGTTGCATGTTTCTTCGAAGGCTTTTAGTTAAATTTATCGTTTCTTTCTACCATGCATCCGCATGGTGGTGTGCCTTGGGGTTTGGAATATAAACACCAAAGGGTATGCACGAGACACCGAAATAATTTTGTCTTTCATCGAAGACTTTGCAATAGGTCCTTCCTACGTGGCTACGTCCTTCTAACAAAGCTTCCACAAATCAGATGGTTAATGATAATGGGTCAATTGGATCTTCTTCCCTTAATTTTTTGGTGTCTTAATATATGATTTGTCGTTCATTTTACTTCAACATTCTTCATTATTTCAACATGTTCTTTTTACTTCTACTTCCTCTACTTCACTTTCACTTTCCACCCTAGTAACACTTTCATCCTTTTTTTCACCGAATTCGGGAATAACTTAATACTATCTTGCTATAATCTATGATATATTACACACTATTTTTAGTGCTGCAAATTTCCGCTAAAGTTTGATTACAAATCATTTCATAAAAAAAATCAATTATATATCATGAACGACTTTAATGTGTGCGTCTATACAATCACTAACATTCAATTGATAGTGTTTGCATTTACGTTTGTTCTTTTCAAAAATGATTCACCAAAACCATTCAATTTGTGTTAAGGTAGGAACAATTCAAATGGTCGACAATGCATATAGGAGACCATCTAATTATGAATGGTGAGTTAAAATACAACATCGTGTATTTTTCAACCCGTCTAAAACCCAAGTGATTCAAGAAAATTGGCCATTAACCTTCCAAGACCCATGCATCCATCCGACATCTCAACACTCATTGCATCTTGCATGGGTATAAACTCCGGGTCCTAACTGTTCATTGACATTCGACTATACTCATGATTTTTCCAAATCATGATTTACTATCTCATGTGGATCCTAGATAATATATATCCTACATTTTTTTGGCCTTGTAGGTAAATCAAATAATCTAGTATTAAAAAAAAAATTTCTAGTGTATGAATCTTCTTTATTTAGTTGACGTTTGAAAAAGAAACAAAAAAATTCAAGAAAGTGGACCAAGTGCTGGAGGACCCCATGAGGCATGAGAGGTGTCAAGGAGCTAGAGAAGAAAACCAAGGAAAGTTGGCCAAACCTCAGTGAATATCATACGGACTTTTGTATTGGTCGAGACCCATATAATTTTGGTCGAGAATCCCCGACTAAACTTATAGAAAAGTGTAATGTTTTGCATGAAGATCCACATCATCAACATTGTTTTTACAACGGATTTTTTACCATATTCATCTCCCAAATCTACATATATACATCATCACGGTTGTTTAATTCCACCTTCAAACTTCATATAATTGTTTTCACCATTTTTATTCCCAAATCAATAGTTCCACCCACCAGCTGCAAATACGATATATAAAAAATAAAACATAAAAATATTATAAATAAATAAAATTATTGGTAAGAGCACACGCACTGGTACATTTTTAAGTCGGGTGTGAGCATTAAAGTATTTGAAAATAAGAGAAAAGTGGGATTGGAGTCGCAAGTCGGATGTAAGGTTACAACCGGATGTGGGATTACGTGGCAGCGTCTGGTTGGTCATTTATGGTCACACAAGAATTCGTGATCGACAAGCACATAACAAATTAAAAGAGGATTTGATTGAGCATATATGGGCTAAATTTGGACATCTTCCAAATGATGATTAAACATTTTAAACTTTGTATTAATTAAATAAAATGTTTGTGTGTTTTAAGTAATGAAATATGTTTCTTTGTTTTGTTTTTCATTCCTATCTTTAATGTCTTGTTTAATTTCTAATTGTATTTTGGGTGTCTTTGTATTTTTAAATAAAATTTAGTTTAAGTTTTTTTATGTTTACAATTTAAATATAATTTTTAATTTTTAAATTTTTTTTTTCAATTACTTCATTATATTATTATAATATCACTTAGAAACAGGTTCTACCAATAATCAACTACTTTAGAAACAGGTTCTAAACATAACTTCTTACATTATTTTATTATTAAATCCCCACTAACACACACCCACCCACATGCACCACTGTGGGTGCTCTAAGAGACTAAAAACAAAAACTATGATTTTAATCAAAAATAAACTTTTTTCTTTCTATACTAGTTTTTTCTTCTTTCTTCAAGACTTAAGTAATAGGTTTGATAATGGAAAACAATCTACATATATAGAGTTTGTTTAATATTTGAAGATTTGTTTTAAAAAAAGAAAGTCTTAATGAAATTTTGGAGATTACTCCCACATCTAGAAAAAAAACGATCCATTGATTCTCCTCCATTCAACGGTTCGATATATTCAACACACGGAGTTACAGTCTTCCCTCCCACACCTTATAAAAACCCCATAGGTAAAAAAAAAAGCTTCATCTTGAAAAACCTCTTTCCAAGTTTTCCAATTTTCCACTGAACAAAAAACTTTCCCGGTTAAGCAAAATTCGCCATGGATGCTCAACAACGGAGACCTGAAATTCCTCGCGCACCACCGGTCGGAGAACCCGGTGGCGATGTATCTTCGATTTTCATTGCTTTCGGTGTTTTCGCTGCAATCGCCGCCTTGGTATAATCTCATCTCCCTTTTCTCGTTTGATCTCTGTGTTTGTTTATACACGCATCTTAACTAAATCGGTTCTCTCTTAGTTTCATCTTTCGATTCTGACTCAACCCTTTTCGAAATGTTGAAGCTTTGTATCAGAAGTTGACTTAAAGTTGATGACTTTGTATTCTTCTCGACCTAGATTTTATCTTGTTTCGTTTTAGATTTTAGATTAGTGAAGTGTAAGGTCACAAGTACACTTTTTGGAACTTATTTGAGTGACGCAGAACTAAAAAACCTCACTTTGGGTTGTTTTTGTTAAAGATTTTGCTTATGTAATGAGTTGTCATCAGGTTATGTTTCCGTCATCGTTGGTGCATCAAGTTCCTGAAGGTCATGTTGGAGCGTATTGGAGAGGTGGTGCTCTTCTAAATATAATCACAGAGCCAGGTATTTATCATTAGCATTATCCCTTTTCGTGATTTCATTGCGGTTTCATTCTTTTTGTTAGTTGGAATTAACTTTGTGTGATTCAGGTTTTCATCTGAAGTTGCCTTTCATAACCAACTATGAGCCTGTTCAAGTTACTTTACAAACAGATCAAGTGAGTTTTATACCATAAAAAAGCTTGGATTTGTTTAGGTTGTTAGCTTTATAACTAATTAATTCACTGTGTCTTAGGTGAAGGATATACCATGTGGTACCAAAGGAGGTGTCATGATTACCTTTGAGAAGATAGAAGTAAGTGTCTTAAGATTTGTTTTTCTAATGGCATCACCATTGCTTAAAGGTCTGTTGATCTTAATTATATGTATTGATCAGAATAAACATGTTTCTAGGTTGTTAATCGACTGCGTAAGGATTATGTTTATGATACTTTGCTCAACTATGGGGTGAACTATGATAACACATGGATATATGACAAGATTCATCATGAGATCAACCAGTTCTGCAGCTCTCATTCACTTCAGCAAGTCTACATTGACATCTTTGACCAGGTACTTGACTTTATTAGGAAGCTGTAACCTTAATTCAACATATAAAATTTTTGATCTTAACGGTTTGGAAGCTTATGCTTATGTCATTGACTGGTTCATGTTTTTGATCCATTTGGAGTGACGTTTCCTTCCCCTGTAGGGAAAATAACAGCTTTCTTTAGATAGTTTTCTCATTGCGTCTGAAATCTGGAAAATATATGATGATTTTCTCTAATTCATTTGATCACATGTGTTTCAGATTGATGAACGAATGAAAGATGCTCTTCAAGCTGATTGTACACGTTATGCTCCAGGAATTGAGATTCTTAGTGTGCGTGTCACAAAGCCGAAAATTCCAGAGAGTGTAAGGCGTAACTTTGAGCAAATGGAAGAGGAACGCACTAAGGTAAACTCATTTGAACCTTAGCTCTTCAATCTGCATTGGTTTGCTCATATCATCAATTCCGTTATAATGGGGTCTGGACGCTTTAAGATTTCTATACACAATTGGAATGAATGATTTTGAAGGTCTTGATTGCTATTGAGAAACAAAGAGTTGCTGAGAAAGAGGCAGAGACAAAGAAAATAATGGCCATTAGTGAAGCTGAGAAGAACGCCAATGTAAGCAAGATTCTGATGCAACAGAAGTTGACTGAGAAAGACAGTTCACGAAGAGAAGCAGACATCGAGAATCAGATGTACCTTGACCGTCAAAAGAGTCTTGCGGATGCAGATTACTACCGGTAATAGCCAGTCTTTTTTCCCCCATTCATTTTCCTTCTGAAACAAGGAAACAAAGAACCTATAAAGAATAAATTGGTCTAATGTTTACATATTTGCTCTGATCAATGTCCCTAGTGTACTGAGAGAAGCTGAAGCAAACAAGTTGAAGCTCACCCCTGAATTTCTCGAACTGAAATTCATCGATGCCATTGCTCGTAACACCAAAATATTCTTCGGGGACAAGGTTTTACTCTCATTTCTATATTCACATAATCATGTCTTATCTCTGTTTCTGCTGTTCTGAAGAAAGTATATCTCTTAACTCTGTAGGTACCTAACATGGTGTTGGATCAAAGGCTGCTTGGGAACTTCCTCAATCATTCCACAAAAGACAAAGATGGAAGCTTGGAAATGGCCACTGATACCTAGATGTTTCAGTCGCCCAAAAATCAAACTTTTTATTTTTATTGCATAACCTAACAACACTTGACAGTGAAATTTGGAAGCTTCTCTTGTGGCTTTCATTTGGTTGCAACCCAATCTCCTAGTAACCATGTTTTTGTCTAAAAAGGAATCTCATCAAGACAGCTAATTCCCATAATACTTATACCCATTTTGTCAGATTCAAAGCTCCACAAAGTATCAAAAATGACTAAGAGATTCTCTGTCAATATGAGATTCATAGTCCAAACATATATGAGCTCATTTTGGTCTTATTAGGCTGAATATGCCAATGTGTCTTGAAATCCTTTATTGACATTATCTTTTGATATACACATGTAACCTTCTCCACGCAACCATCAACAACACATGCAGAAACAGAGAGAGGAAGTGCAGGGTTGGCCAAACATTGTCCAAGAAGATCCGGTTTAGATAAACCGGGAAGGTTTCCAAAGCGGTGAGGTTAACCGGGTAAGAGGCAAAGTCCATATATATTACAAGCAAAGAATGTGTTTTTTGTGTTAAAGAAGAAGAAGAAGAAGAAGAAGAAGAAGATGTATGTGGTTGAGAGCAAAGCAGGAGCTATAGGATGTATGATACTTTCATTGTGTTGCTTAGGAAGCTGGCCAGCGATTTTGACTCTATTGGAGAGAAGAGGTCGTCTTCCTCAACACACTTTTCTTGATTTCGCAACTGCGAATCTCTTGGCTGCAATCGTGATCGCGTTTTCGCTCGGTGAGATTGGAAAAAGCACGTTTCGAAAACCTGACTTTACCACACAGCTCCCTCAGGTTTGGTTCCTTCTACTTCTTGAGATTCTTGATATATATTGTAAAGTTTCATTTGATTGGTAAAATGAGGAATTTACAGGATAATTGGCCGTCAGTATTGCTTGCAGTCGCCGGCGGTGTGCTTCTTAGCGTTGGGAATTTAGCAACTCAATACGCTTTTGCGTTTGTCGGTTTATCGGTTACTGAAGTTATAACCGCAAGCATTACCGTCGTCATTGGTATGCTTCCTCTTTCACTTATCTTTTAAGGTCTTTGTTTCAAATGCAATTTCCGCGTTTGCGTTTAAAAAGATGCAAAAACTATAAATAATACATTTTCAGTATTAATCTAAACGTTTTATCGTTTTGTGATGAATCAATCACTTATGTTTCTTTGGTTTCTTGCATGTCACGGTGAGTTTTATAGGTACGACGTTGAATTATTTCTTGGACGACAAGATAAACAAAGCCGAGATCCTCTTCCCTGGCGTAGGTTGCTTCTTGATCGCTGTTTTCCTCGGTGCTGCGGTTCACACTTCTAATGCAGCTGATGTCAAAGCGAAACTAAAGTCTTTACCTAGCGAGTATAAAGCTGAGACAGAGTACGATGTTGCTCTTTCTTTTGCCTTTGTTCCATGTTTTCAAAACTTGTTCTGTTTTAACAAACCTCTGATCTTTTTCAGAGATTTCTATTCTTCCATTAAAAATGGTGACGACAACCCTGAAAGAAGTAAAACCATTTATATTATTGCTTTGTGTGAAGATATATGCAAAGCAAAAGAATGAAATTTTCGGTTAAAATTAGAAACTTTTGGTGGAATTTTGATCAAAGTTGTGATGTTTTCTTGTTTGTTCTTACCATGAACAGAGAAAACTGATGTCGAATCTCAAGAGAAACCAGCGGAAAAGGCGAAAGCAGGGACGGCAGGATTCTTTGTAGAGCTGGAGAACAAAAGGGCAATCAAGGTTCAATTACAATGACCAAGAGAAAAACACCCGAAACCCGAACTCAAAGTTCGAATTTTTTATTTAGCAAGATTACATAGCAAAGGAGAGTATACAACTATTTGGTGTTTAAAAACTCGTTAATGCGCAGGTCTTTGGAAAGAGCATAATGATAGGACTATTCATAACGCTCTTCGCGGGAACCTGCCTTTCTCTATTCTCTCCTGCATTCAACTTGGCAACAAACGATCAATGGAGTACATTGCCAAAAGGCGTACCTAAGCTCGTTGTTTACACCGCCTTTTTCTACTTCTCCATCGCGGGTTTTCTCATTGCTTTGATTCTAAATCTCATCTTTCTTTACCGGCCAATGGTAGGCTTAGCGAAATCATCGCTTAAGAAGTATATATATGACTCTAAAGGTAGAGGTTGGGCGGTTTTCGCTGGATTCTTGTGTGGGTTTGGTAACGGTTTGCAGTTTATGGGAGGTCAAGCCGCTGGATACGCTGCTGCAGACTCTGTCCAGGTTGGTTTTTGCTTCTTCATATTGAGTAATTTCAAAGTTTACATTTTGATTTGCAAGTAAATGAGCTCTGTTTTTGGTTTAGGCACTTCCTCTTGTGAGCACATTTTGGGGCATAGTTTTGCTTGGAGAGTATCGTAGATCGTCAAAGAGAACTTATGCACTTTTAGTTAGCATGTTGGCCATGTTTGTGGCGGCCGTGGCGATTCTTATGGCATCTTCCGGTCACCGGAAATGATGAGCTTTTCTTAGTTCTACTATATGTTTGAGCATGTCTATTTCGCATGCATTACAATAATCAAATGTTTGAAATTTTTAATTTTTATATTTGCTAATGTGAGATTCTAAGTGAATGAAGAAGATATGTTCTATTTCAAAAGTATAAGTTTTTCATTCTAATTGGAGAAACATTATTTTTTTCCTTTCGTCTTTACTTAAATGAATTTTCAATGAAAAAAAGAGAAAGAAAAGTGGTTAGGTACTTGTCGTTTTACAGAATTAATTTCTCTAGTTTACACGAAAAGATAAGAAAAGTCAAAAAAGTATCCAAAGAATGGAACCTCACTATCAAGATTCCAAGGCAAATCAGAAAATTTATATCTTTGTTTGATTTTATTCTAAAATTGAAATGAAATTTCCATAGAAGTGAGTCAATGTTCAGTATCTTTACATTCTCTGGAAGAAAGATCTAAAAGACATGTGGTGGAAACTCTATTTGCAGAAGTGATATTATCCTCTGTTCTTGCAGAACCTAGCAAAGGTAGTGTCTTTTTCATATACCCATTTTGGATGATTTGGTTCTAGTTGTCTTTTAAATCTCAACCTTTCTTGTCATGAATAGTTTATGAACATATGTGTGTTTGGAGGCAGAGCATCCATTTTTTATGTCACTAAGAATTCTAAAATCTTCAATTGGACTTGCACTTAGAATTAAGAACTGAAAACAGAGGATTAAGATTTCATCAACATGAGACACAATCAAGAATCTTGTCTATTTTATTTTACATGAATCATTGATACAGTGAGTCATGTCTGATGTGGATTCTTAATCTGCTTTTAAGGAATAGATGATTCTGAAATTCTCCAAGCATCTTACTTAACCTAAACAATTATGCTTGATCTTTTGCCTAAATCAATATTTTTACTTGCAGGGCTGATCCATTTTGATCAGTTTTTTCGACCGAAAATATGTATCTAGTGGAGAGCAAAGGAGGTGCCATAGCTTGTATGCTTTTAGCTTTACTATCTCTAGGGACTTGGCCAGCAATTCTAACACTTTTGGAGAGACGTGGTCGTCTTCCTCAACACACATATCTTGATTACTCCATCACTAATTTGTTGGCTGCTATTATTATCGCTTTTACTTTTGGTCAAATCGGGTCTACAAAACCCGATAGCCCGAACTTCATCACTCAGCTTGCTCAAGTATATACATAAATCATTTGGATATATATACAAAGAGAGGGTTATATATTGTTGTTGAAAAATAACCACTTATTTTGTAGGATAATTGGCCATCTGTTATGTTTGCAATGGCGGGCGGGATCGTGCTTAGCCTCGGGAATCTAGCAACTCAATATGCTTGGGCTTTAGTAGGCCTATCAGTTACAGAAGTCGTTACATCAAGCATCACTGTAGTCATAGGTTAGAAGATCACGGAGTGTTATATAGTCATACTTTGGTTTGAAAGTGGTTAGTTTACAATTCTTGTTTTCTAACGTTTAGGCTCAACCTTGAACTATTTCTTGGATGATAAGATCAATAAAGCCGAGATCCTTTTCCCCGGTGTGGCCTGTTTCTTGATCGCAGTTTGTCTTGGTTCAGCAGTTCATAGATCCAATGCAGACGATAACAAGGCCAAACTACGAGACTTTGAAATGGCTAAGCAAGAGTAATCAAGATTTAGTCTCCCACTTTTTTTTTGTCTTAAACAATCTGTTTTCTTACTAATATCCCAATCTGGTCTCTCCAGAGCTTCAGGTCCATCTCCTGAAATAGAGACAAACTCATCAAAAGACCTGGAGACTAATGTTACTGATGGAACATCGACGAAACCCAAAGAAGGGACAGCAAGGTTTCTTATTGAGCTTGAGAACAAAAGAGCCATAAAGGTAATGCTTTCTTCAAGTCCATATACTTCGAAAAGTTATTAAAATTTGTTGTCTTTAAAATCGTAGGTGTTCGGGAAACGAAAGATAATCGGACTAGCGATTACTTTCTTCGCAGGTCTTTGTTTCTCCCTCTTCTCTCCAGCATTTAACTTAGCCACAAACGATCAATGGAACAGATTGAAACAAGGAGTTCCAAAGCTAGTCGTTTACACAGCATTCTTCTACTTCTCTGTTTCTTGTTTTATCATTGCATTGATCCTCAACATTGGATTCCTCTACTACCCTGTTCTTGGTCTTCCAAAATCTTCTTTTAAAGCTTACTTAAATGACTGGAATGGTCGTTACTGGGCCTTTTTGGCGGGTTTTCTTTGCGGTTTTGGAAACGGTCTTCAGTTTATGGGCGGTCAAGCCGCAGGATACGCGGCTGCTGATTCTGTTCAGGTTTAGCAATTGACTTTTTTTTCAAAATATTTTAGCATAATTCAAGAATCAATCTTTATGGTTTTGAATCAATGTTTTGAATATTTTGTGTGTTAGGCGCTTCCTCTTGTGAGTACATTTTGGGGAGTGGTTTTGTTTGGAGAATACAGAAGATCGTCGCGTAAAACTTATCTACTTCTCTTCAGTATGTTGTTTATGTTTATTTCAGCTGTTGCAGTTCTCATGGCTTCTTCTGGACATAGAAAGTAATTAAAAAACTCAATAGTTATAAAATGTAAGTAGTTTGTCTATTTTCATAAAATTTTTATATACTTTCGATGTATCATTTGTCATGAGTCCAGATAATAGTTGTTTCAAACAACTTGTTTGTCACTTTTTGTAACTTTCAATGGTGAAATAGACACTTTTTTTGTCGGGCCCAATGTTAATTTTACTTCATCCTGAATCCTACACTTTATGTATAGTATAAATTTAATACCACATAATTCCGTGGTACGTACTCATTGGATTCGAATTATTAATTTCTAAGAAATTTGTGATTCTTGTGTCCGTACTGTGTCATGGCATTATATTGGTCTATCTCTACTATATATACTGCCCTTAAGCTAGTGCAAAGTATTGACCTAAACACTTATGAACAAGAAGATGAACTCGAAAACAACTCTTTATTCACTTAGGAAAACTAACTCAAAAACCTAAGCTATACAATCTCTCAATCTCTCAAGTTTCACACATATAAAACCGATACACAACACATCTATTTATAGGGTTTAGATAACTCCTAAACCGACTTACAATTAGGGCTTTGATAACTCCAAATCCTAAAACACACCGACTTCTCTAAGTCACTTGATCACACCGACTTCAAGCTTTCTTGGGCCTCACGTTACTCTTTAAACTTCAAGCTTAGCCCAACATACTCCCTCTTAAGCTTGAAGTTGAATCTTTGCAATGTCTTGAACACCAACAATCCCACGCATCTCCTTAAATCTGATTCTTGCTAATGCTTTGGTTAGAATATCTGCCTTTTGTATTTCTCCGGGCACATGATCTACTTCCACGAGCTCATTCTCTACGCATTCACGGATGAAGTGGTATCTTTTATGAATGTGTTTGCTCCGACCATGGAACACAGGGTTATTGGTCAGGGCTATAGCAGATTTATTGTCAAGTAGAATCAGCACCCTTTTACTTAGTCCTCCAATGACTTCCCCAAGAAGCTCCTGAAGCCACACTGCTTGTTTAGCTGCTTCTGTGGCAGCCATGAACTCAGCTTCACAAGAAGATAAAGCCACAATATCCTGCTTCTGCGAGCACCAAGTAATGGGACAGTCATTTAAGTAAAAGATATGACCTGTAGTGCTCTTACCATCATCTTCATCAATATTGTGACTATTATCACTGAAACCAATCAACCTCTTCTCATCATTGCGAGTGAAGCAAAGACCATAAGATCGAGTACCTTTTAAGTATCTCAGAATCTATTTTAGAGCTACTCCATGAGATTCCTTGGGCTCATGCATGTATCTGCTTAAGACTCCAACACTATAAGAAAGATCTGGCCGTGTGTGTAGCAAATAGCGTAGACATCCTATATTTCTCCTGTACTCTTTTTCATCAATTCCATCTTCTCCTTTTGCTTTACACAACTTCACGTTTGCGTCCATGGGAATATGAACAGCATTACAGTCTAACATTCCTGTTTCTTCCAGAATTTTAGTAGCATACCTTTCTTGTTTCAACATTATTCCCTCATACTGAATTACTTCAATTCCTAGATAGTATGTTAACTTGCCAAGATCACTCATTTCAAACTGTGCTGACATTCCTTTCTTGAACTCAAGTATCAATTGTAAGCTTGATCCTGTAACAAGTAAATTGTCTACATAGACAGCCACCACAAGAGATTCATCATTCTCTGTTTTTCGATAAAAAGATGGTTCTTTAGAACACTTTATGAATTTTAGATCCAAAAGAATCTTGTTCAGCTTATTATTCCAAGCTCTAGGAGCTTGCTTGGGCCCATAAAGTGCCTTGTTCAACTTATACACCTTTTCTTCACTTCCTTCCTTCACAAACCCTTCTGGTTGCAGAACATATACATCTTCTTTTAACTCTCCATGTAGAAAGGCTGTTTTTACATCAAGATGATGTACTTCCCATCCATTTGAGGCTGCTAATGCAATGATGAAACAGATAGTTTCTATGCGAGCTACTGGAGCAAATACTTCATCATAATCAACCCCATGCCTTTGAACATACCCTTTTGCAACAAGACGTGCCTTGTGCTTATTAATACTTCCATCCGAGTTTCTCTTGATCTTAAAAAACCCATTTTAGTCCTATTGCTTTTGCACCAATCGGAAGTTCAACTAAATCCCATGTTTATTTTTTTTCTATAGAGGAGATTTCTTCTATACATGCATCCTTCCATTTCTTTGAGTCTTTGGCTTCATTGTAGTCCCATGGTTCATCATTTATTACTAGTAAGAGTCGTTCACATTCAATTTCTGCCAAAAGAACGTAGTCTTTTAAGTAACTTGGCCGTATAACTTCTCTCCCAGATCTTCTTAATGTGACTTGTGGTTGAGTTTGATTTTCTTCAGAGATTTCTGCATTAGAAGTTTCTGTGATCTCTTCTATAGGTTCTGTCTCATCATTCTCTCTCTTAGTGTTTTCTTTTTCTTCAGTGATATTATCTTCTCTTATCCCATTATTTCCAAACTCACCAAAGCTTAGACTGAACATTCCTGGTTCACTATTT